CAGAGGGCCAAGGAAGACAGCAAGGGCAGCATGGCACCTCAGAACTGAGCTAGGGACTTGCTACTGAAGGACAAGTCAAGGAGACAACTAAAAAGGACAAGCAGTCTCTCTAAAAATGTTAATTAACTAGAAACAAGAGCCTCAACAGTGTAGGAGGCACAGACACATTTGCAAGGGTGTTTTCAGTCTTACTTAATTTCAGTTACACCCACAGATCACAACAAGAGGGACATATTTTCCAGTGGTTCATCCTATTTCTGAACATATTGAGTTTCTTTGACAAGCTACAGACACAATCTAATTCCCCAATCCATCCCTCCTCATGCTACTCCTTCCCTCTGCTGCCTGAACATCACTAAAGGTATAGATACCTGCAGACAGGTGTGTGTAATTGCTCTGCTCATGTCCCAAATGGTCTGACCCCAAACAACTCCAGCCTGGAAGCACTGAAACCCTATCATCACGGTGCCATGCCCTAGCTAATTATCTCTGCTGTGAGGCAAGGAAGAGACTCCAGGGCTCAGTGTCATGCTACCACGTCTGCATAGCTTTCAGCTGCCTTGCATATCACCAGCTTGGAGAGCAGACATAAAAGCTTGCATCTGTCTGTAGCTATCAATGTGCCCTAGGAAGTTAATCTTGGGCACATAGGCAGCAGGTTGTACATTGCACCCACCGAGCTGCTGGAGGAATCAAAGCATTTCTTTCCACCTCCACAACCTACGGGAAGTGGGACTCCAGTCCTTCTCTGCCAAGAAGCAATCTGCTTCAGACACGATCCTGCCCAGAGGGGAAAAAAGAATAAATCACGCCTTGCTGCCATCAGCAGCAGAGATGCTGGAGGTCCTCATCATAAGAAGGTTGTCATCACCATCCAACTTCAGACCCCTCAGTCTGCATCATTATGGCACTTTGCAGTGCTGTATTGATGCTTCATTCTGACATACTGGGAGCAGAGCACTCTCACTTCTTTTGCAGCTCTGCTGAGTATCATCATCTGCATAAGAAATCCAGTTCCAAGATTTTTTACTGCATAACAAACCTCTTCTACATGTGTAAAACAGAAGTTATTTCTCTAGTTTGGAACTAGTCCTGATAACACCAAAATGACAAAGGAAAAGGTTAAAATCATGCCACAAGAGCCTGGAGAACCACAGATATCTAGTGAATCTGATTTGCTGCACTGCAGCAGTTACAGTGATTAAAGGGTCAACTCCCATCTATTCATTTTCACATTCATTTATTCATTTTCAGTCACTGTTCAGGTTAAAATTTGACCTCTAAAATCCCCCAACACAACTGCTATTTTTGGTTCTTCTTTTTCATGTAACTCAAACAGCTGCTGGCTACTAAGTATTCCCTAAACTGACCTGTTGATCCAGAAGGGAGCTGCTCCTTTCTTTCCACCACCTCCCATCCCTCTCCCCGAAACTAGCAGGGCTGTTCACGGGCTCCAGATATAACCCTGCCAGCTGTGGCAGGCTGAAAGCAGGGGGATGTATGTGAGATAGAACACGCATATAGCTGCTGCCCACTGAAAAATGTAAGTTCCCTAGGATGGAACAGTATCAAGAAGCCAGAGTGATCAAATAGCATTCAACTTAATTAGACTAAGTACCAAAGGAAGACAGAAGCCCACATTTCACTGTACCCCCACTGGAGGAGGGAATGCAATGACAACAAAAAAAGAAATTCACATAAGGGAAAAGCTTTCTGTATGCTAAAAAGTACAATAGCAAACTGCCTTGCTGAAAGCAAGTGACCAGTGAAAGGGGGTAAGAGCTGTGCATAAAGTTCCTAGTATGTAAAAATGTCTTAAGAGTCAGTGATCATGATATAAAAGACAAGGAATGAAAAGCCAGAAGGAACAAACAAGCTCAAGCAGGGATTGCTGTATGGGAGCCGATGATCCCTTCCAGCTGAGGTTTCCGAAATAAACTTTCACCGCTCTGTAAGCACAGCCTGTTTTGCACGGGCAGGCACGGCTCTGCTCTGCAGTGAAGCCTCCGTCACAAAAGAGACTGTGATGGATATTTTTTACCCCAGGACTCCCTGCAAGGAGCAGCCTTCATATTGTCAGGCGCACCGAGGAGAGCAGCCAACACAAAGATCACTATCAGTGTGTCCCTGGCCTGCGCTTGCTACACACGTCTCTGATCAACATCATTTACAGAGGGAGGCCCTTCTCAGCTCCCACTGCCACTGCCCTTCTCCAAGGGCAGAGAGAGAATGTCAGGACACACTGAACAGCCTTTAGGATACGCTACGTGATGTTTTCTGGAACTGAACAGTCTTGGCTCTAGCTGAATATTTATATAAACAGCAATGTGTCAGGATTTGGGAGCAGTGTGCACAGCTCCGTTTCACACGACACTGCACAGGCTGCAGACAGCGTGCCAAACCAGCTGTGCAGACTTCCTGAAATACCCATGGGTCAGGTTCTCTCTTTTCCGTTAAATGGAAGATACTTACTCTTTGGTTTCGTAACAAAGACCATACCCAGAATTAAGAAGGGTTACAGCTACAGGTAAAATCCTTAATTTTCAGTCCAGCTATTTTTAACTAGAGGAATCACTCTCTAATAATTTTTATAGGAAGTAAAGTAATTGTGCGTTATTCTCACACCAAGATCTCACCTGGCTTAAAAAAACCCACTGATACCAATCCCTAAATATATTCCAAAAGAGATCTAACATAATCCTAAAAAGCTATTTCCCATGCAAAGCTTCAACAGAAGGGAATCCAGAGGTTGTAACAGACCTTGTAGTTGCCTTCACTGTAGACATGCAGTGAACTGGCTCCAGATTCACAGCTACTTTTTAATAATCTGTTGGCTCATAAACAGCGTGACCTATTTTCTTCATAGTTTACACAAAGAACACCCAGGCACGCACTCTCTTGGTACCATTTTGCAATGAATACCCTTGTACATACTTTGATAAGTGAACAGATAACTCCTCCAATCCTGCATAGCTGGTTGATCATTCAACTGTAAACAAAGGCCCATCTACCACTTAAACTAATCTGAACCTAATAGAAAGTCATCAGTGCCTTTCAGAGCAACTCATTTGTGCTGTATTTTCTAGGGCACGAAAAAACCCTTGGTTTTCTTCAATCTTTACAAAAGCCTTTCCCTTACCGTAACAGCCAATCTGGTATTTTTCAAGGAAGATTTTTTATCTTCCTAATCAAAACTATAATGGGACTACAACTGGAGCTTATGGTGCAATACAGGCAAACTTAGCTATGAAGACACATCACAGCTGGACTGACTTTTGCAGAACTGGGTTTGTAAGTTACACCAGTAACTTTTTTTTGAAACAAGAAAGCTTGGTGGGTAAATCAGCTAAATAAAGGTATCAATCTCATTTCCATAGAAAGTACTGGGGAGGTGATTATGCATTCTCTGCAGGAAGCAGGGATGAGTAAAACTTTCCAAAACCAGCACTGTTCGTAAATAAAGTTCTTGGAGCAATACACCGCTATGACCTTTGCGGGGACAAGGATGTAGAAGAGTGAAGGTGCAACAAACAAAATTTCTACTTAAATAGTAATTTATGAGAAAAACCACAATTAAATACAGCTCACGAGTCTAAGCGACCCAAAAGAAAGCACAGCTAAGATCAGAAAAAAGGGACTTTCTAAAACAATGGCACCTTCCTACACAACACTTCCTGAACCCTATCTTTGGGCCCCAGACAACTTTACTGAATGAGGAAGGTATTTTACACAGCCCACATACAATCTTTTTACAGCTGGAATGCCTGCACTCAGGGGAAGGCACAGAGCTCTTCTCCAGTGTACCCTCAACAGCCTGTACATCCCCAAACAGGGAGGAAAGCAAAGACAAGGTTGTGCTCTCCCTTCTCCAGGCAATGGCCAAACTTCATCTCCCCTGCAGGCAAGAACAGCAGAAGAGAGACCTCAGGACAAAGAGTGTGGGAACTATGCACCATCTTCAACTGGGGATGCATGTCAGAGCACACATTTTCCCTCTGCATCATGCATCACATTTGCCTGGTTTACTGTAAAGAGCACATCTCTAGAAACATTTACACATTCACTTTTCAGCTTCTTAGGGAGACAGCAAGAAGAGGCATTGATCGCCTGCAGCAAGAGAAAAGAATTGCCACTGACCCACATGGTCAAAGAACCGGGCCAACCACCACCTATTACACGTAACAACATGGACTGTCTGCCACAGATGAATTAGATTGAGAGATCATTTGACAGATCATTGTGCAAGTTTCAACTTTCTAAAGCAGAAGTGATGTTCTTTCTTATGGTTGATCCACCACTTGAAGGGGGAAAAAAAAATTAGAAAGAAAAAAGAAGGTGGTTGTGAGCTATGACAGAGAATAAAAGGCAAAGTCTGCTGTTACTTGCAAACTGGCTCATTTTTTGATGGTCAATCACATCACTTAGTGAGAAGTAGAAACTTAGACACCATACGGTTTGGGCCCAATGGATATGCAATTTGATTAGCAGATGAAGTTGTTCTAACTTTTCAGAATGCATTACAATGAAATCACCCTAGCAAAACAGAGGCGAATCTGTGACCTAAAGGGACTGCAGCTCTTGTCTACAAGCTTGCTCACAAAAAACAGCTGATCATTTCATTTTAGATTCAGCAGATATAACTGGATTAGAAAATCATAAATAGCCCAGATTTTACCAAACACATAAGAAACCACTTTCTGTCTCTTGTAACACCATTGTGATTTCTGCCCAGAGTTGGAATTGCACATCTGTGAGTACCCTGGGAGAGTGTGAGAGCTGAAGTCAAAGGAATACAGAACAAAGCAGGTAAACTAAGAAACAGAAAGTACTGGTTATGCTCACCACATAACCAATTATCCAGAAAGAAAGTGCACTGAAGGACGGAGATTCTACCTTTCACTTACCCTGGTAAAGCTGAATGAACCTGGGATGTAAGGCAGAGGTGATAATCCCATCTGGCAACTCTCTCAAAAATAACTTCAGCAGACTGGCTGCTGAGTACACGTCACCGTCTTTAACGAGTTCCACTTCTTCTCCACGCTCATACTGCAGACGCAACTGTTCCACCATTTTCATGCTGCCGTTTACCCTGAAGAGGCCTTCCTGCGTCATCCCTGTAAATATATATTGCATATGAGATTGAGCTGAACTAAGACATCCCAGTGATATGATGAAACAGATATTCTAGTGTGAATAATACACTTGTAGAAATACAAAGGAGGGCAATTAATACAGCACAATTAAAAAAAAAATACTGTTTTCTCCCCCAGAAACTACCTCTAGTTAAGTAATTGGATTATTATAATTAACAAATACTAGTGGCCAGATCTTGAAGCCTGGGATACTCTCTGAGAACCCACAGAACTCAGTGGCATAGCTGTAATCTCACACTATGCAGAAATCAGTTGAGACAGCTGCATTTTGCATTGGTATATTTCAACAGAAAAGGATTCAGACTCTACAAACAGTTTTGTTGTTTCACTTTTGCAAGTAGCCTGTTACCTTGAGCAAGGTTCTGTCAAATTCACACACATGAATACTTTCAGCCTCACATTTTAGGGTAACAACTTCTTAACTGTAACCATCATGAAGCAAAAACATCTGAATACATGCTCATTGCAGCAATAACTCCATAATGAGCACTGCAACTCTACTGTAGCAGAAAATCTCACTGAGCAAATGTGTATTTTGAACACCATGAAGCCCAAAGTATTTCACGATGAAAAAGAAAAGGTATTGATCACTTCAGGCCAGACACCCCACACACAGTGAAGGAGATGCAGAAAGAAGGAAGTTTCCATGGAAGAAACCAGATCAAACCTACTGTATCAAACATCACTTTCCAGGCATATGCTGACATTCAAAAACACAAAAACTCTGCCTTTTCTAACACTGTGTCTATAGACCTGCTTATTCTTCTTCAGAAGCATAACAATGTAAAGATCAAAATATGTATGATTTTCATCAGTTCAGAGTAGACACCAGTAAAAAACAGTCTGACATGACACTTCCAGTGGAATAAATCAGCATCGATGCAGCTGAGTTTGTAGAGAGAAATAATCTCTTTTATTGGCTCAGAAGACAAACTGATCTAGTAAGGGAAAAAACGGACAAGCACTCAAGGATTTTACTTGACTAACACCAGATACTGCCTACAGATTTTGTATTCCTGTATTCTCAACAAAACACACTTACATGACATGCTGTACTGCCATCTTGGGGGCAGCTGCAAACACCACATCTCAATATGATTTTCATTTCTGCAGCACTAAGTGAGCAAAGGACACGGTCCTCACACAGATGGAACTTCCTTTGCTCTTCCTCACTCATTTATGGAAATAAGGAGAGGACAGAACATACTGCTAACAGCAATCAGATATTACTAAATTCAGCATAGGAAAACTTGGCTTCACCTATAAATTTGAAAATAGGCAGTTTAATGCAAACTTAGTTCAAGGATGTAGCTGCCCAACAGCCAGCTCAGCTTTTTCACATGGGTAGACGGTTCCTCATGACCTAGAAGAGAGACTCTGAAATGGTCTGGCTTTAAAAAGTCCTGCAACGTCTATGACAACACCTTTGCAGAATAGGAGTTATAAGACAATACTGGACAAACAATAACCATGATTCACAGAACACCCTGCTTCCAAATAGTTAGAATTCACACCAGGGCCTCTGTCAAAAATGTCTTCACAGTTAACTTCACCATTAATTCACAAAATAAACCTCAGACAAGCACAGGACACCTATTTCAAGAACTTCCCATGTAAGAAGGCATCTCTGAGATCTTGCTTGCACTTCTGAGAAAGAGAATGGATTGTATATTTATCAGGCTGGATAATCACCTTGGTGTTCAGAAGCCTAGATAATCTTGCTGCAGAGTAGAGGACTTGCCTTGTTTAGTTCATATATTGGAAACAGTCATTGTGGGATTCAAATCTTTTTATAGAACACAGAGCACAGCCCACAACTTGCAGTCAAAAGTGTTTGTCAGCTTCTGGTTTTGATTAAACCTCAGTGATGCAAAAACTTTTTCCATCTTTGCTCTTTCAGTTTTCTAGCAGACCACTTCAAGGCAACTTGAAGTACACCAAGAAAGATTCTTCTGTGTGAAGGCAGGATCATGTTTGAAATTTGCACTGTACCTTAATCCAAGCTAACTTTCCAGACATGTTTGTATCTATCAGCTTCTAAGTGTCTATCAAGATACAGACATGGAATCTAAGGTTCTGGAATCAGATTATCATTACTGAGTAGCTACAGGAAAAACCTTAGGGTAAAAGTAAATGCAGCTTCTTACAAGATGAAATTACCTCCACAAAATCTGTTCTGTTGCTGAACTGCTACAGGATACATCTGTGCAGCAACGGTGCTCTAGATTTCTGCAGAGATGTACTTCAACAACAGGAACTAAAGTGCCATTAAATAATATAAAGGGAAGCTAAGAACTGGACGCCTACTTCCCTAATGGGATTCATAATAACTGGAATCTATCTGAAAACCTCTAAGAACACTTATTCCTATTCAGCAACGTACTCTGATGGGGGGGTGTGTGTGTGTGCATGTGAATATCTCTATATAGATATTTATGTCTCCTCACTGTCAGAAGGTGTTAACAACAAATGTTTTGCAACTAGAAAATGACAAACCTTCACAAATCAAACACATTTATGAACAGATCAGCCTATTTATGAGAGTGTGCTGCTTCCTAACACCATAGCTTACCTTTATAAACATCCTATGAAGTTCAGCATCAAGGCAGAAAGAAAAAGAAGCAAACCACATACAGTACTATTCTTTGCATGTGGTTAGTGCCACAACCTTATTCAGCCCCTGTACCACAAAAGCGACACATCCCTCCCTTTGAAGAGTATTACATAACGAGTGCTACTAAGCAAACGTGATTCCATTAAGCTTACCATGCTGGGTGAGGTACTCAACTATATTCCACACAACTATTGGGATGCCGTTCTTGCTCAGTCCCTGCTGCTGGAGCTCCAGAAGACTCACACCAAACACCTTTGGACAGGTTGTGTCCCTCTGCTTGTTCAGTGGAAGCGTGGCTATCTTTTTCATGTCCTCCTTCAATCTCACAGCCGATTTGCTTTGCTTAAAGGAGCAGAGGAAAAGAAGAGCATTAGTCACATTTGCTGCAGAAGGCTGCACAGTTACAACATAAGCAGATCCATCAAAACTGGCTCTTTGTTTCAGAATGAGGTTTTGGTTTTACTTCCTTTTAATCAACAGGAAAACCTCTGTGAAGCAGGAAAATATCAAATGAACAGAGACAAAACTAGAAGAGTAACTAGCAGGAAAGTGTGTAATTAGTCTGTAGCGAAGACAAGGGAGAAAGACACACTTTTGTATGCAAACTTGTTACTACAGTACCAAGTAACTATGACTTGCAGGAGACTGCTTTTGTAACTGATGCAGTTCAGATGGGTTTCAAAAGCAACTGGACAAACACAAACACAAAAAATCCCAATACACCACCATTGGTCCAGGGTGCCTGTCAAAGTCTGAGAGAGTACTCAGGGGAAGGTTCACTGCACCCTTCTTCCAGATGCTGTTCCCTAGGGATACATTTTGGCCACCGTCAGGTGAGATGGATCTTTATGAAAGATTTTATGTTATGTTTAGCTAAGTCTGGAATTTAATTACTGAGGCTTTAAAGTTAGAAAGGGACTATGTAATCTAATCACACATAAGAAGAGGGCTAGAAAAACCACTCCACAATACACCCTTAATTGCATACATCCCATAGGTTCTTCTGGAGGCACAACATTCTCACAAGTTTTGAGTTGCAGTGATGGAGAAAACATGAGAGCATAGTCAATAAAACCCAAGAGAGTAACATAATATAGGATTAACCTGCAGGATCAATACTAGGCAGAAACCTAAATCAGCATACGGTGTTGCGGGTTTGGAAAGACAGCTCAAGGCAGAGCAGCAGCATCACCTCCCACAGCTGTGATTTCCATATGTACCTAAGCATTATCTCACTAATATGGACATGCACAGTACAACTCGGCAAACTTCACTTTAAAAAAAACAAACCAAAACAAAAACCAACCAACCAAAAAAAAGCCAACAAAATCTTTCTGTTGATGAATTTCCTCGTATTTCTGACTTAACGCTTCAGGAACCAGGGGCCACTGCTACCATGGAGTTCAATCTACTTGTTTAAGACTTCCACCGCTAGCATGATGCTCAAAATGGAACTTTTTCCTACTGTGCTTTATTAACAAACAGGTAGTAGAAACCTTACACACAGACAATCCTGTACAGTAACACAAGCGCTCAGACTCTTGCCTAAGTCTTGGCACTTGACTGCATGAAGACAGATTTTAGCAAGGTTCTTTCATCTTAAACAAACTTTTGAAATACCCTCATTTGTGAGATGATATTTTTACTGCAGCCTATAAGTGACATGAACATCTGCACTGGTACTGCTATTAAACATGACTGTCCTTTCAGATACAAAATGATCTGGCAGTTCATTTCACTCACTTTGCTATGTTTTTCCCAATAAACACAGCTATTTGGAGCACATGTGTGGTCTATATTTCCAGGTCTTATGCAACACGTATCTGACCTTTACGAAAGATGTTGCTTGCATAAATATCATAAATATATTTTATTATTTGTGAAACAGAACTGCAATATATAAATAAAACCAGCATTATTATGACCACCTTATAAATATTTGTGATAAAGAGTACACACATCAGTGTTTGAACTAAAATCTGAGTTATTAAAATATCACATCTCTTTTTAAAAAAGAGATGGCCCCATTCAGGATCAAATTAATAATGTATGATTTTCACTCCAGGCAGACACATATCAAGGCCAAAAATCATGTAGCCTGAATTAAATTCAGAAGACAGCAAAAATCCTTTGAGCAGCTTCTAAGCAGCTGTGATACTCAGACAGCTTTTCCAATTAAGGCCTCCAGTTAGCCTCACAATCTTGCTTGCTCATAGGTTTCCAGCCAGTTTCCGTTTCAGCATTTGAAAACCCGAGTCACAGAGCTGGATTTATTTGGGGAAACTCACGATTTACATTTGCAAAAGAACCAAGAGACGTTTCCCATGTGCACAGGAACAAAGAGGAAATTTCGGAGCCTGTTTCAAGATCTGGAGAGGATGCGCTAACGAGGAACAAAAAATTATGCATAGTTATGCAAAACATACATCTAACTGAAATAAAAATGAAATCACCCTCTCAAAACAGCTCCGAAACAAAGAATTCAATGTTATATGATTTTACAAATGAAAGATGTGATTTTACACAGGGAAAAGCTGTCGAAATATTAATGCAACTGTTACGGATCGCCAAGGCTGGAAAAAGCAACTTTAATGGTCTCTGCACGATACGGCCACGAAGTGCAGCCCAGAGAACTCGACTGGAGTTGAGAAAAGCTATTTATACGCACAGGGACGCGCTTTTTCAGCTCATCCAACAACCTTAACACAGGGCACGATGCAGCGCAGTTGTTCACTGGCTTAAAAAAGACGAAAAAAAAAAAAATCCCGGAATCGCCTTTATCTCCCCCTTTCGCAAAGGAACAGCAGCTGCCGAGAGGGGAGGAGAGCGCTCGGGACGAGAAGGCAACGGGCCCAGGCCGGCCTCTCTCGTCCCGCAAGGGACCCCGGCAGAGGGCGGGAGGGAGGCG